GCGTTCGTGGATGAGTCATGTTCCCATTGCGGGAAGATGACCATCTCGGAGCTGCGGACCAGGCTCCATTTCCTCCAGGGGGTGGAGCTCCGTTGCCTCTGCCGCGATCTAGTGTTCGTATTGGTGGCAGCCAGGCGTGGACTACTTCGGGCAGGAGCACGGGTGGTCTGAGGGTTACAGTGGTGGCAAACAACTCAGGGAACCAACCCTCGTGGGACCATCACTCCTCTAGCGCTTCGCAACCAGTCGAGTCGCCAAAGGAACGCGCTGGGCCCTCTTCAAAGAGTGTACCAGCGGTATCCTTCGGTGCTCCTCCCGACAACCAGATGTCGATCACTGCATCGGAGGGAGAGCTCTCTGGAGGGGAAGATTCGCCTGTGCTGCGAGGAGCTCACCAGGTCATGGACGGCACCTTTTACTGCCGGAAACCAACCTGCTGGTTCCTCCTCCCTCACCACCCTCGACGGGGGTGCAGCAAGGGGGTATACGGCGATCCCCCCGGTGGAGCGGTCGGTTGCGATGCAGTTGTGTCTTAAGACCGCCTCCTTCAGGCAGGGTAACACGTTGCTCCCCTCCCAGGCCTGTAGGCATTTGTCTTGTCTGACCGGCGGTGTTTATACGGCTTGTGGAGAAGCTGCCTCCACCTTACACGCTATGACGTTACTGCAGGTTCATCATGCCAAGGCACTGAAGGACCTGCATGAGGGTGGTCACGATCCAGAAGTTCTGAAAGAGCTCCGAACTACTACTTCCCTATGGAAGGGAAGTCGTTCATTTGTAGAGCTGCGGGCTGGGCGACCCCCAACACATTCGCTAGGTTCTCTAGCCTTCGTGTTGAACCGGTATCCTCCTGTGTTCTCACCTCAAACGGGTAGAAGCACAGAGAGGCCTCGGTTTAGTGTCAGCTTGCTAAAACCACTCCAGAGAATCTGTACTGTAGACCCTGTCGAGCTCCTCTATCCCCTCGGCAGCCAGACGTGGCGGAACGTCCGGCACCAGGCCTTCACTTGATGAATCCTTGAGAACCGGTAGAGGGCCGGGTTCCATATGTAGACGCCTAAGTGGTTCCCATATGTGTATCGCCTCAGAGACCGTGTTTCCCCGGCAGACTTTGTGCTGTACAACTGCTTAAACTGCACTTAATGAAGTTTTTATAATAATTAAAGGGGTCCTATTATGCTTTTTCACTTTTTCAACTTTAGTTAGTCTGTAATGTTGCTGTTTGAGCATAACAAATATCTGCAAAGTTACAAAGCTCAAAGTCCAATTCAAAAGGAGATATTTTATTTAACAGAAATCACTTTTCAAAAACTACAACGAACGACTCGTTTGGACTACAACATACAGTTTATTTTCCGGGATTTGTGATATCACAAATATCGACGAATGGGACGAGACCTGGTTGAGCTGCACTAGAGAAGACAACGAGTGTTATCACTATGTTGGAGACACGCTAGCTCTCCCAAGGCAGACGAACTTATAATGGTTACAATCATCCGGGTTTAAATCGCGTTTAAATTTATTTGATTTTGACGCAATATTTACACTGAATTTCGCAGGCGTCTATGCCTCTATGGTAAGGGGCACACCTCGCGCTGCCGCATCTGTTGAACTGAGGCGCTACAGTGATCTGTCACTCCACATTAAACAGCGCCAAAACGGCATTTATTGTTTGAATACTGCAATACAATGGACATTAATTGAAATTGTTTCATATTAAAAGTACCAACGCACAATGCTTATTGCGATTTATTGGATGGGAGGTGCGCTTCAATGTTCCATCCGTTAACTGAAAACAGTCTAGACTAATCAATTCTTGGGATTTAAAAATCGATATCGTTTCGTAAAAATGAAAATCGATTAAAATTGAGATATCGATATTTTTTACCCAGCCCTAATGAAAATGTTGTATCTGTTATCTTTTTTGACCCACATAGGACTTAATACATCTTTATATGAAATTTCATAATTAATCCTATTGTCTTTGAAATATGGCTAAAAAATGCGAAAAATATATAAATATTGTGAAAAAGCATTCATGGGAAATTAAAATATGCATTAATTAAATTTCTATTGAAATTTGTATGTTATATATTTAAATATATTTGAAATTACACATTTGTAATGATGCTGAAGTTTAGTCCATTTAAAATCTAAAAGTGCAATTTTTGTTACAAAGTTCACTTTTTAAAAGTGCATTTCATGAAAGTTTACTCTCTAGCTCATGGAGAGGTTTGAGAACCCCTGCTCTAGAAGTACCTTCTATTTAATCTATCTATCTATCTATCTATCTATCTAGTCATCCAGCTAAGGTCCTAGGTTTTTCAGTCCATATAGTGACATCTGTAAAATAGCCTTTGTCATGTCTGATGTTAGTTTTTTAATTCATATTTTGTTATTCAAAATTGTGTATAGTGTAGTATTTAACATTTCCAACCCAAAATACACCTATAATCCTGAATAATAATTTCTCTCTACAGTGTTTCTATCCCATCCTTGCCCTCACATTCAGTTTTATTTGTAAAGTGACTTTGCTAAGATAATGTGAAACTTCTATTTACAGTGCAGAAGTGTCCACGTTATTTTAAGTGACTTACCCCCAGGACGGCATCCACAGCAAAGACCGCCAGAGGGTCCAGCACTGTCCACACCGCCGCAGCCATGATAAACTTTGACAGGAAGGAGGGCGGTGAGCCAAACGCTAGCTGACAGCCCCATCTGATCAGGAGCAGCAGTAGCGTAGCTGCATTCAAGGTCAGGGGGCCCAGCAGCACCAGCAGAACCTCCTCCAGGGTAGACAGCAGCGAACCCTGATAGACCAGATCCACCGTGTGCGCACCCAACCCAAATCTGCCCAGAGAGAGACATGATGAGAAGTTGATTTATCCCACAACGTAAGATAATCAAATAAAAAATAAATGAGAAATTTGCAAATGATAATTATTGTGAACTAAAGTAATTCCAAATTAGAGTATGTGCTGTTGTTAGGCAGGATGTAAAGTAAATCTGGGTTATCTGTTTATACATTTATAACAATAATTAAGAAGTTGGAAAAAAATTAAAATAAAAATAAAAACATTGGTAGGGGCAGTTCTAGACCCTTTTTAATTCTGTCTACATTATAACTGAACGTTTGGGCCAGTGCTGCTTCCTAAAGAAAGTTTATCATTTCACATATTTTTAAGACTTGTCAGGTTAAACATTCAAGTGATTTAAGCCATTCAAGCGCAAGATGGGATGAAAGAGATCTCAATACTGTAATCTCACACCGTGACAAATTGTTTCTGTGTGTGTGCACAGAAAGCCACCTCACAGACAGCATGCGAGTACCAAAAAGTTCTTAATGAATATCCATGTGAAAATATCGGATGTGTGTCAATATAAAACAAATCTGTGCATTAGATCTTAAAGTGACAACAACCACATACTGCATACCTTCTGTTTCCTATGTTAATAATGGTAATCAAATAACAAAAGAAAAAGAGAGGATTACTCACTGCTCTTAACTAAACAACTTCTGTAGCTTTAATAGGTATCTGTGTATTTCCCTTATACAGTAATACAGTTTTCACAGGCACTCTGTACAAGTAATATTTATTTAATTTACTTGTTGCATTGTATTGTATTTATTTGTGCTATTGCTTGTAATTTGTTATCTAATGCTTGCTTACTTGTCTTCAATGTTTGAACTTAATATTAGCTAGGCTAGTATTAGTATTTGCTGCTAACGTAAATTGGAGTCGAGAACTGTGAAATTCCACTGGTATCCAAACTGTTGGTATTGTAACGTTACATAGATCAAAAAATAATGAAAGCAATAACTTTACTTATTTAGGCAGGGCCAGTGAATGTTTTGGCAGGGCAAGTAAAATATCTGATCTCCTGACCCGACCAGGCCAGTAGAAAAACTCCTTAATGTTGAGTCCTGAGTCAATAGTTTTGTTTTTTAGATAGTTAACAATAATACTTGTTAATAACAACACTATGATGACCTTTTTTTTCTGTTAGTCAAACAGTACATGTGTACCAATTTGAACTTTACTGCAGACTGGTATCTGACTCATTATAAAATGTTTATATTGACTTGGTAGCAATTTTAGTGGTATGCTACTTCTGACTTTATAGTAATATAGTGGTGCTGATTTACAAAGAGGCAATGGCATCATCTTGTTACACATTCTCACCGAGGGCTAAGCCCCGCTATGGATAAAATCCTAGAACCGTCACTGAACATCTGCACAAAATACAGCAAAATGAAATGTCTAAGAATTTACGCTGATGTGTAGTGTGTGTGTGTTTTTTTTTACATACACTTTCATGTCTTTCCTAATCTACCATCATCTCTCTGCTCATTAATCCCTCTCTACCGTTACCTGAGAATCTTTTGCACTCTTCATTTCACCTATTCGGCCCATTTCTGCTGCACATGTTCAGTACTCCGGATTTTCTAGCATTCTCTCAAGCATTTAAATCGTGTGAAACTTTCCAACACTCACTGTATGTTATATCTCTTTTTATTAAGGTTTAATTTTTAAGATGATATTTTTGATTGATAGTCAAATTTTAATTAGATTCAATTAAACTCAATTCAACTTGACTCAGTTTTGCCACATTTTATTCAGTCCGAGATTCAGTTTGATTTGACTTAAGATTCAGCTTGATTCCAATGCATTCAAGATTCAATTTCATTTGATTTACTTTTATTCTGTGTGCGACAGAATCAGATCTCTAATTGTATTCCAATGCATTGTCAATACGCACTTTTTCTTTCTGTTTTAGGATGCTGTTAATTACGTCAACAGATCTAGCCACCTAACACAACTCACTCCAACGTTTACAACAAGACCTGTGCTGGTAATGAAGAGTTTTTCCACATGCTTGTGGTGCAATAAAATCCACAGAACACATGTTGTTGTGTAGACGGGTGGGACTCATTTGGCACTGCGAGGCTGTGTGCTGATTTTGGAGTGTGTTTGTGTGTGTAGGAGTGGAGGGGGGTGGTATTTGTGAGAATGCTGGGGGTAATGAAATGTGCGTGGGGTAGAGTGAGAGAGAGATGCTAATGACTGCGGGGCGTGCGAGTGTGTGTGTGTGTGTGTGTGTGCTGTCAGTTTGCAGCTGATCTCTGACCGCTACTGTGGTCACCAGCCCTGTAGAGAAACGCTCGCAGCGGACAAATGGACAGACTTGTGGAACATGTCATGAGCCTATGACCCCAGCTTTGTGTTTTCCACTTGTTTCTCCCTCATCTGTCCTTCTCTGCATTCCTCTTATCTTCTGTCAGTCGTTTTCTGCGATTTAATGATGGGATTTGTCTGGCAACAACACAACTTGGTGCGTAATTGAATGACTCCTGGATGATAAATTAAATTAACACCACATGCAAAATAGAACCACGCTGTGGTATCACACAGGGTTTATGATGAAATGCTGTCCACACAATAAGAGAAGATAAATTCTTTCCAAATAATGCACACTAAAAGGCCCGTACCCCCGCATGTTAAAATCAACTGACTCTCCCCTCATGAGGTAGTTAAAGTTTAGACAAGTCTTGTAAGAGACCGTGCATGTGTGTGCGTTTGCTTGCATGCATATAAATGCACACACATGACATACGACAACAGCGCACGAATCACCTGCATGCATATTTGTGCGTATGAGTGTGTGTTTCCAGTGAATTATTGCAAGTAGACATTTGTAAAGGTCAGCCTATCCTCTCCTGGAATATTTCTGCATGTATTTGTGTGTTTGGAATAATGATGAGCTTGACACTGTGTGTTTGCGAATGATTGTTCTGTGAGAAGGGTCACGTATGTCTCACCTGTTGATGGGGATATGTTGAGCCTGCAGGAAGAGCCACTGGCTGCAGTAATGAAGGTACAGACGGGGAAACCACATTACGCCGAACAGGAGAATGGTCAGACTGATCTGAGACAGATGAGAACGTGGATGGCAGGACAAACCGAGCAGTGACGGGAGGAGACGCACTGCCAGACGTGTTCTCTCGCCCGTCCCACAGCACACAGCGGCAGACCTGTGCTGATTGTGGTGCTGAGATCTGGGGACAAAAAAACATATGGGTGATTCTGTAAGCAGTGCAGAAAATAAATTAATAAAATAAATGCATAAATAGAGTTTTTTCCCCATTTTCCCACACAAGGATTTAATGTGCACAAATGAAGATAAATTAATTTGTCAAAATTATTTATAAACAAAATTATTTATTTTTAATTTAATACATCTGACTGAAAGAGTGTGATTGTTTTCTATAAAATATATACCATCTATAATCACTTTAAATATGATAATATTTGGTCACAATACAATGAATATTACACATATTGATGAAATTTAAGACCAAAAACTTAAAATTAAACTTATGTTCGTCACTACTGCAATGCAATACAAAAATGCCAAATGTCCTTATATTTTAATCAACATCTCCTTATATTGTAAGAAACATACGTTTTCTGTAAAGCTGCTTTGAAACAACATGCATTGTTAAGAGCGCTAATAAACATGAATTGAACTGAATTATTTGAGTGTTCATGAAGTTTTGGGGACAAAATGTATTTAAAACACATCATAATACAGGTCTGTGGTTAGTTAATTAATCCTTGGCTATTTTTGTTAGTTATGATATGGTCAATGTGCAGTGGTTAATGATGCATTTCTGAAAGGAGAAAAAAGTTTTAGATATCTAAATAGAAGAAATCATTCCATTTATGGAAATGTGTATGTCAAATTATTTTTTTAAGGTCATAGAGAATTTTCTTTCACAATTTTGACCATATATACAGTATGTACACATACAAAAAGTGTAATATTTTGATATAATACAGCTTGAAATAACTGTTGTCTATTTTATCAGATTTTAAAATGTAAATTATTCTGTAATGGCAGCAAAGCTGAATTTTTTTTGCAGACATTACTCCAGTCTTCAGGTCACATTGTCCTTCAGAAATCATTCTGCTATGATGATTTGGTGCTCAATGTGCTATTTCTATGGAATATTTGTGGAAAACGAAAAAATGTTTTCATGATTCTTTGATGAAGAGAAAGTTTAAAATAACAGCATTTAATTGAAATATTTCTACATTTACATTTATTCATTAATTTTGTCCAGTGCAACTTACAAATAAGGAATATAACAAGCAATTAACTGAGATGTGGTAGTAATACAAAGTTTCAGTGCAACATTCAAGCAATCACAACTGGCTGAAATATGAAATATAACATCTACATCACTAAAAGATCCACACTACACCAAAACGCCTTTCTGTATATTCACAACACACTAGACAGAGTTAATGTGTCAGGGACGCATCCCTGTCAAGCCGCATTACGCCACCGCGGCTAATAAATCCTGACTTGCATCCCCTCTCTAATGAACGTATCAATGATATATGAACAGATGTATTTTTAGCCGCCTGCGCAGACTGGCTTTTCTAGAGAGAATGTCTAATGCAATGTGAAATCTGTTATTGCCACAAAACTGATTTTTATTGCCATAGCTCCATCTCTTGGGGTTTGTTTTAAAGAAAGTGTGACATGAGAGCATGTACTTGAAATGTGAAGCAAAAAAGAGGAAGGTAATGTGTTGCATTCATCTGTGGTGTTACTTTTAAAATTTGTACTATTGTTGGCAGTCAGGGTTTGTGATTAGAACATATCTCTAATTACACTTAGGCTTGTAACTCATCCCTCAATGTTTGTATTATGGACATGAGTGATATCACAAATTATGTGGCTGGTTGAGATGTGCAATTTCCATTTGTAAGCAATCAAATAAGAAGGATTTTTAATGATACAATATGTGGGGAAAAGTAAGATAAGAGCAGTGTTAAGTGTGGCGTACAGAGGAGCAGGTCATGACGTGTGTTGGCAGGATGGACAGGCAGTAGGGTGGGATTGATTTATGGCCTGATGCCCGTAAGGCAAAGCACAGCAACCCTGAGAACTATCTGTGCCTTTAGTTACAGATTCAAAATCTGGAGTCACTTAAAAGCTGGACGTCTTCTTTTTTGCAGAATTAAGTTATTTGCTGTCACTTTTTTTCTGATTTGGACTAAAGACATTGTTTTGTAAATGTGCCAGAGCCACTTTATACCCCCTCCATCAGTGAACACATAGGGTCACATAAAGTGTTAAAGAAGGAGTAAAATGAAACCAGAGGTGATGCAATCTTAAAATAAATTACAATATATATATATATATATATATATCATTAATGTAAAATGTATTACTTTTTTCATAAGGTGTACCTTAATTGTATTGTAATTATTTATACTATTTTGTTTGGAATACCAATAATAATAATAATAATAATAATAATAATAATAATAATAATAAAACCGTTATAAAATTTAATAATAATAAAAAACCCTGCTAGCATGACAGCACAGAGCTGATTCTTTTAATTTAATGCTTGTGTAAAGATCTATCCTGAAATCGCTCTGTATGAGTCTAATGTCTCTGTATTCTAAAGCATTAATACAGAAATGAACATGATCTTCCAGCCTAACAGAGACTCTTTATTTCACCCCAGCTGAACTTAGTGTCAGCGGAGTGTTTGTGTCTGTATGTGTGATAGGTTGAAAATAGCTGTGCGTGGTGATTGATAGCATAATGTAAGATTTGGTATAGTCAAAGTGTATATCTTAATAACCTTTTCCACAGGGTTGAGTTTAACACAACTGATGGCAAGCGGATAACGTTCACTTTACAGTTTGGAGTGCAGCTTTGATGTCAGATGATCTGAAGCAATGCGGAAATTCAGAAAGACAGCAGGCCTTTATATTCTGAACGTTTGGAGTTATCACAGAGAAGAGAACAGCACTACAGACATGTAATAAGAACATTCATATCTCTATACGAACAACAAAATCTCACATGGCTACACATTTTCATATAGAACTACATGTACCTTTGAAACCGAGCTATATTCAGTGCACAATCACAAATGAAGGCTGTTTGTGATAAGTATGCCACAACAATCAACAATCAAGCTGAAACAGCAAGCAAAATAATACATGCCGTAATAATTTGGTAACATCAGCCCCAGGCCTCAGTGGCATCAGCTAGATTCACTGTAACTTGATGCTTTAGTGTCAGTCAACAACTGGATGTGATGTAACCAAATTTAAATCTTAAAATGCCCCCAGCACATAATAAATAGCCTAATAATCAATAATCATTGTGCTGTTTAAACCAACAGTCCCCAGATGCTGTTAAAAGCAACACTCTCTTTTCCCACAAAGCCACAGATCATTCCAGCGCAATTTGGATTCTCTTTGGATACTTTGCATACTGTTTTCCACAAATATTTTACAATACAATGCAGATTTATATCTTGCCTTGTTTTTCCATAATTATCTTCACATCTCAAGCTTTTATAAGAAAGCTCATTTCCCCATTTCTGGCAGAAATTAAATGTGTTTCATTGAGAAAAAAGCAGCAAGAGGAGATTCGGGGTGTAGTAAAAGAGAATTACTGCCGCACAATTAGAATACGGCTCATAATTAGAATAGGAATTTTGCCACTGCCAAATTATCAGAATTATTTGCAGCTGAGAGCAGAGGGGAGATGGGCGCTGGGGTACTTTAACCTAATCGAAAGCAGGAAAAAAAATGTGTTCCACTTAATTAGCGGATCTCGTTTGACTAATAGCTAACCGCTCCTTTTTTTAATGCAGTGAAGTTCCTACATATAAGAAAAGTGCTCGAGTCTCTATAAAAACTGAAACATGGAGTATATGAATGTTTCACACACTGATTCACCCCTCCAGTGTTCTGGCTCTTAGGTCCAAACACACTTCCACACCCCATGTACGCAAGGAAGCCGAGTTCAAGCCAGCGCAACATGTGTGTGTTTATAGGCCGGTTGCGTCTGTCGGTAGGGAATCTCACATGGTAATGCCCAGACCCACTGAGTCTAATAAACACAGTGGAAACATGAAGTCTGTGAATGCACCTGGAGCCACTGAGAGCGATTATGAGCAGGTTATTCAGCAGAACCTGGGCATAATGTTTCTTACTTTCATAGCACAAGTTCAGTGCTTCCTAGTGCTGCACTGGTGGATTTTAGCAGGAAATGAGTCATCAATTAATGTGATCTTGAACATCCAAACTAAAGCCTGCCCAGAACCACAAAAAAAATCAGTTCTTTAAACTGAAATTTGTCTATTTTGCAACAGTGGCTTCATGCAACTAGGCCATAAGCCCTTCCTAAGACCCCATAACCAAAACAAAAAAATATGTGGTTTGTACATATTTGGATTATCTTTACAAAAAAACAAACAAACACACATTTTACATATCATTACAAAATTTACATGAAACAGCAATGTTTGTTAAACATTTTGTATACATTTGTACGCCCTACCAGCCACAGATGACAGCAAATTATTTTATTAAAATTGATATGATCTTCTTATAAGTTTGATAATGGTAGAGCTACTTTTGGAGCACATATTGTTTGTTATAGTAAAATACTTATCTGATTTATCTGTTTGTGGTTTATGAAGGAATATAAAATACCTCATCTCCCCTGCTGCTGGTAGTTATGTTGCATATGCTTTATTTATAATGCTATCTTGAATTCACCCTTCTCCAAAAATGTACTACGTTTCTTTATTATAACCAGTCACACAGTGTTTATACAATGCAAACATTCATTCATTAATTTAGATTCATTTTAAACTGTCATGTTAATCTGTTAACTAAAGCCACTCAGAGAAACCTCCACTCAACATTTAGAAAATAAATGATCTCTTATTCAAACATAGAACCTAATGCATGCACCCGAGAGCAGTCACCCAACAGAAGCCTCAGCTAGGGACATCAGAACGCCACCAAAATAAAAGCTGCAGGTTTTGACCCACTATTCACTGAATAAATCTGTACGGACTGTGGTCGCTGCAAATCCTGCTCCATACTACCAAATCCAACCCCAGTAAAAGGTATTCTGACACTTTACTAAAACAAAATTATAATTTATTATTATAATTATATTATTAATTTAATGAATTCATCATTTTCAGAACGTTTGTAATTAAAA